AAACATAGGGTCCTTGTTTGGATTCGTCATTTTTATCCTATAAGAAATGGGTTTATTTGGCGCATTAGCAGGAGTTGCATCCAGATTTTTACCCGCAGTGGGAACACTAGCCAGAGGTGCATTTGGAATTGGAAGGAAGATTTTGAGTACATTAGGTATACTGAAAGAGAAAGCACAACCTATTTATCCAAACGTACAGAAAGGTTGGAGGTAGCACGAGATGCAGCAAATCTTATTCCAAATCCTGAAACAAGAGGAAAAGTTCAAGGATGGATGGACAATGTAGAAGACAAGCAGGAAACTACTATAACAAAGCAAATGATACTATAACCAAGCAGGGCACTACATGGACCAAGGTGAAAGATCTTTAACAGAGATATAACCATGCACAACAATGGGTAAACAAACCAACCGCAACCGCCTCAACGTGGGGAATGTAAATTTTTTTACTGAGATGAAATGAACAATACAGCATTGAGACAAATGGGCTCAAGATGGATTTGTCGGCTTCCAGCAGTTACACAACCACGTGTTTGTCAAGTTCTTCCTATACCTCAGGAAGTTTTAGACCGACTTAAAAAACCTAAACAACCAGTTGAAAAACAAACCAAACTAAAATTTTTTACTGAGATGAAATGACCGAAGAAGTTGAAACGGTAGATTTGACACCACAAAACAAAAGTTCAGAACCATTGTCAAAACCTGTCAAAGAACTTACAGATGATGAGAAAAAATTCAATAATAGAAGTGCAGGTCTGGAAATACAAACCCTAACTACAAGTCACTTTCATAGAAATGGAACGGCTTAGTATCTTCAAAAAAAAACAGACTCTCACAAATAAATATTGAAGTCTGAAGGAATTTTCGAGACAACAGATGGAAAAGTTTACTTCACTGACAAACAGTTCATTATAGAACATCTCATTGACTTAGAGTCAAATATTCTAAACTTTACAACAAACACAAAAAAGTTGAAAGGAAAACAAAAACAAATGGCATATGATATTTATGAAGATGTTGACGACACAACCATACCTGCAAGTGGGGTAAAGTCAGAGGAACCGAAAAGTGACGAAAACCGATAGAAGAAGAAAAACCAAAAACTGAAGATAAACCAAAACCAAAGTTTAGTTTGGAGACTAAACAAGTCAACCTTCATTAGCTGGTAATGGGTTGGCGTCAAAAGACTTCTGTTAGCAGGAGGTTATGTAAAGTAAAGAAAACAGTATATTTTTTTTATTTTATTGAAATGTACGCTGAGTTTGTTGAGAAGACGTTGGGAAACTTGTTTGTTAGATGAGAAATATGAAATGGCATACCATTTAAATAAAACATTTTTTCAAAAAAAATATTTTTTTATTTTATTTGAAATGTACGCTGATTTGTTGGTATGAGGACCGTTGGGAAACTTTGTTTGTTAGATGAGAAATATGAAATTCACTGTTGTAGGTCATTTGAAGTCAGAAACAAAAAGACAAAAAGAGTTTTAAGCGAATGGGAGCAAAATGACGGATATGCTAGGATGAGGATTGGTGAAAACACTATTTAAACATGTTGTCATTGCAACTCATTTTATACCAAACCTAACAATCTACCTTTTGTAGACCACAATAACCATATAAGAACGACAATAGACTTGAAAACTTACGTTGGGTCACTTGTTCTGAAAACAGTAAGAACATAGGCAAATTTAGAGATATTGTATTCGAATTTTGTCGACGAACTAGAAGATGAAGCAATTGAAATTACAGACTATGGTAAGCATACGTTTGAGTTTTACTACTATAGCGAAGAACAGGACTCTTTCTACCTTATACCGGCGTAAACTATAGGAAATTACAAGTATGTTTTTACTAAGGCGGGCTATGCTTAATGTAAACACTGAGATACAGATGGAAAACACGTTCATATATTTCTCAACAAATTCAAGAAGCTATATGGCATACCATTTTAAAAAATATTTTTTTATTTTTTATAAATGCCCCCGTATAGAATGGATAGAAATCTGCTAGAATAAAAGCAGAGTTGCAAAGATATGGTTGGAGAGTTTCGAAGAATTTTAAAATATAGGAAGGAAGACCCATAAAAGTCTATGACAAACTGGCTGGTCTTCGCTACGAAATGGACCTAGAAAGCGCGCGCCAACTATCCAAACAGACTGGGAGAGGTTAGAAGAAGAAGTCTTATGAACATGCCTTTCAATGTTAGTGAGCCTCAAGTTGAAGGACACGACGGCTTTGCCAGATTCTACTGGAAACATGACGAACAATTGCATCCTTTGAGAAGGAAAAAAGGAAAAGGTGAAGACGCACATGCTCCCATGGAAAGAACAAGATATGCATATGAAAAGTATCGTGAAGTTAGAAGTCAAATTACATCTGGTCGAACCTTACAAGTAAACTTTGACGAAGGAAAGAACAAAGAAGGCTTCATGGGTGTACTTGCTGCATACAAGACGGAAATAAGAAAGGATACAATCTCAGACTAACCGTAAAAGATTTGGATGGTCACATTTACTATGCAAATGGCAATGAACAAACC